AAAAAAAAAAAAAAAGGTTTGGGGATGTAGTTCAGTGGTACAGTGTTTGCCTGGTTCTAACCCCAGTACTGCCAAAAAGACAAGACAGGGGGAATAGACCTGAATAAACATTTAATCAAAAATAAGGTACAGAGGCTAGGATTGTAGATCAGTAGTAAAGCGGTTGCCTAGCACGCATGACACACTAGGTTCAATCCTCAGCACTACCTACAAAAAATAAATAAAGTTATTATATCTATCTACAACTAAAAATATATTTTTAAAAAGATGTTCAATGTGTCTCTAGGGAACTGCAAATTAAAACAAGGAATACCAAAACACTGACACCACAATATGCTGACAAAATGTGAAGGAAGAGAAACACTGATTCATTATCAATGCAAATGGAAAATGTACACTTTGGAAGACAATTTAGCAGTTTGTTTTTATTCTTGTTTTAAACAAAACTAAACACTTAGCTGGGTGTGGTGGTGCACACCTGAAATCCCAGCAGCTTGGGAGGCTGAGGCAGGAGGATGGCAGCCTCAGCAACTTATGAACCCTAAGCAATTTAGTGAGACCCTGTCTCAAAATAAAGTAAAAATAAAATAAAAAATAAAAAATAAAAAAAATTTTAAAAAAGGGCTAGAATGTAGCTCAGGAAAAAAACACCCCTAGATTCAATCCCCAGTACCAAAAATTAATTAACTATAAGTTTTTTAAGTGAAGAAAATTCTTACATGCAAAAATGCTTCATATTTAAATTTATATTAATGGCTAACAAGAGCACATGCTATGTAATGGACATTGAAATAAATGGATTAACTAAATTATAAGAAAAAATGGTTGAATGTAAATATCAGAGCAGAGAAATAGGTCACTATATTATAAACAATTATAATATAGAATATGAATTAGAGGGGAGTTATTAAAATGCAATTGATAAAGTCTGTGGTAATACTGGTAAATCCACATGTTAAACCAAATAACAAGATATTTAGTACAATTATCATTGTTATTTTTAAAAGGGAAAAAATGGCTAAACAGAGAAGACTGGAATCAATACTGTAGATTAGACTATATTCAAGAGTAAAAGCATATAATTTTAATTTTTCCACACTTCTAATTTTATAAATGTATTTCAATGAGTACACATTAAATTGAAAAAAATTTTTAAAAAATGGTTTTCATAATTTGGCTTCCTCACATATTGTTGGAAAGATTAAACAATGGAAATTTATCTGTATGTCAATCTAGTACTATAATAAGCAAGACTTGGGGCTGGGGTTGTAGCTCGATGGCAGAGCACTTGCCTGGCATGTGGGAGGCACTGAGTTTAATCCTCAGCAAAGCATATAAATAAATAAAAAATAAAGGTACATCAACAATTAAAACATATTTTTTAAAAATCAGGACTACATGTGGAATACTAAGATCTAGATTTCAGATACAACTCTGATACTACCTGCTTGACTCTAAACAAGTTAAATACATTGTTTTTTTTTACCTTGACTCTGGAGAATGGATAATAACTTCATTAGAGCTGCTTATTTATATTAATGAGCTTAGTGTTGCATAAAACACCATCAAAAGTATCCCTTGGGTTGAGGTTGTGGCTCAGTGGTAGAGCACTTGCCTAGCACATGTGAAGCATGGGTTCAATCCTCAACATCAGATAAAAATAAATAAAAAAAATAAAGGTATTGTGTCCATACAACTTAAAAAAAATTTTAAAGAATCCCTTGATTTCTCTACATGTATGCCTATGGGAGGGGATGAACTGGAGATGGAACCCCAGGCCGCCTGCATGCCAAGCAAATGCTCTACCACAGAGCTATACAACAAGACTGGGTTATTTGTGATTTTCCGAAATCATTCTTTGTTGTAAGTGAGGCACTCCTGACCCATACACATCACCAAGACATTATTCTCCCTTCTCCTTTGACAAGGTCTCCTGCCCTCCTCTTCCCTTAAAAGACCACTTTCAGTCTTGTGCTCCTAGAATTCACAATTACAGCTACATCCTCACCAACAGGTTCTCTATATTCCAACCCTCTCTGCGTTCTCCTCATGACTTCCCCACCTCTCCCAAACACAAAAGTCCCATAATGTGAAATTTTTTTCAGCTACTGTTAGCAAGACTTCCTTCTGCATGAGCAAGAGAAACCTAAGACCTGACATCAAATTAAATATTTTTTTTTAATATATTTATTTATTTATTTATTTTTAAGGTTTATTGCTTTGCCAGCAGAGGAGAAACACAAGGGACTCTTATCCCAGAGGCTGTGATTCTACCCATTAGCAGGAACAGAGAGCTTTTAGATGACTCAAAGGCTACATTCCATGTGTTCTCCAGATGTAATTCACTTGTTAATTTGGGAGA